CTCACAAAGTTTCAGCCCTAAATTCATCCGGGAGCATTTTTAAATAATTTAAGCAAAAACAGCGCCGAAATCAGCATTTACTGGTTCGCATAGCTACACTTTGAATTTCAGGATTGGTTCACATAGCTACACTTTGAATTTCAGGATGAAAGTTTTACAAAACATAAAACATCACAAAATAACAGGTTCCTCCAAGTTTCAGATCAAAACTCCAAGTGTAAGATTTTTAATGAATTTTACAAGTTTCTGCCCAGAAACCGTTTTAAGCATTTGAATACTAAAAACTCAAAGATAAAATCAGGGGCTTGACACACATATTCTAAATACCAAGAGGCACAACATATCAAAAAGTTAGCCAAAACGGATAACAACTCGATTTATGGTGAATTTATTACGGTTCAGCAGCTTGCTCGGTTTAGAAAAATCATAACTCCCTACATACAACTTGAAAAGACCTCAAACAAAAACCAATAAATCAAGGACAACTCCAAGTACCTATAACTACAGGATTTCCATGAAATATACCATGTTTTGTTCAGTTCGACAGTAGTTCAAAGTGACGACAATCACTTTGATATCCAATTTGAAATTAAATAATAGAACTCTCACACATACTCATTTTAGGCATGAATTTAAATTCACGAAGCACGTTCAACACCCATTTCATATAATTGAACACATAAAATTATACATAGAATTTAAACGAGACGGGTCAAGCCTCGTACCGTTCTCGGGATTCGATCGAAAACGGAAACGAAGGGTTGACGGCTATCTCACGGAGCGAACAGCTCGTCCGTTTGCGCCTGACGGAGCTCGCTGGTGGTCAAGGTCTGAGAGTGACGTCTCGCGGAGGAGCAAGTCGCGTCGTCGGGTCACTGCGTTTGGCAATCGCCGGAAACGGGCCAGCGAGTTGTTGCTCGAGTCGCGGTGGCGCGTGGCAGACGTTCGCAGAAGCTCTCGTCGCCGGTGCTGAGTCTGCTCACGAACGGAACGACGCTGGAGGAAGTCGAGATGGCGCTGCGTCGGGGATTGTCCCTGTTCGCGGCGGAAAATTCGCGCAGGGGTCACCGGCGTCTGGTTTTTCGCGACAGGGGATGGCGGGGTGATGATGGCGACGGCGTCTGGTTCTCGACAGGAGGAAGTCGCCGGAGTCCGTCGAGGTCGCTGCTGGTCCGCGGTGGCGATGCAGAGGCTCGCGACGGAGTTGCTTTGTGGGCGGCGGAGGAGGGTGCTCGGAGATGGTGGCGGGCTCGCAGGTTGACGACGAACAGATGGCGATGATGATGATGGGAGGACGATGAGGGCCAGCGATCGAAAGGATGAGAGGGAGAGATGATATTTCTCTGATATGT